GTAATCGACGTACACTCGGCTCGTCTTTTGCACGAAGGTTTTCTTTTTTGGCAACGCGGTAACTCGTGCAACACCACACAGAAGCGTTTCACTCGGCTTTAAAGTCTTATTTCGCAGAACACACGCGTGAGTAGAGCGATTATATACGGGTTAGAGGTTGCTATCGTATTTAGTACAGTCCAACTATCTACGTAAGAGTTTCGTTCAGTCGCAGACGCGGACAAAATCCTGCCACAGGTAAATCGTTGACGTAAATTCTTAACGTGTTACATTCTTACGACATCTAACAATCAAACTAAACTGTCAAATTTCTTTCGAAAATAACTGTTACTCCTCGTAATAATAGTGAACATTAGCAATTAATTACTAACACGAGCCGTACGAGCTACGTGTACGATATACTTATACTTTATGATCGAACGTCGCAAAATAATTCGTTCTTCTTCTCTGGACAACGATAAAATTTCCACCAAAAACAATCAAGTTGGATTACAAGTCTACGTACAAAGTAACTAAGATCTAACGTTCTAAAGAGAAGCACATATTCGTCTACTGAAAGCAAAAAAATGGTCTCAGGAACGGCCCGTGTGTATCGGAGAAGCCACAACTCAGATAATAAGTTCAGGCGAGGTGTCCCTACCTTCGTCGTCGCTGGAGTAGCTGTTGTATCGTGAAACGTTGACGACAGTTCTGCGGCCGTCTGTGCTCTTGCTGCGGACGTGTGGCCGATGACCGTCGTCCCTTCGCCGCGAGTGACGACCCTCCGCCACGGAGGCCTCGTGGGCAGCGAGCTCGAGCAGCGCCTGCTGTTTGTAATAGCTGGACAGCTCGTTCTGCGGCCGGCCTCTGTTTGCCGAGGCCGATGGCTTCCGGGTTAGCGGCGATTGCAGCATCCGCTGCTTCCATTCCAGCAGCCGCTTCATCGACTCCTCGCGCTGCAACCACACGCCTTTCGTCAATACTCGTGTCTTTCTTGTGAATCTGTGAACTTTTTTTTCTCTCTTTCACTTGAAGCGTTCAACGACGACGACGATTTTCCCTTTTTCATTTCCTTAATGCGCGAAAGTTTCTCACCAATTATCAAGACTCGAGAAATACATAAATACGTATATTTACGTGGAAAATATTGATATATGAATTGTGTAGAAAAAGCAAACATGTATTTTCCTTTTAATTTCGGGGAATTAATTTGTGAAACTGCAAAATACTTGTAAATATATACTTAGTGAAAAATTAGCATATAGAGTGAATAATGGTTTTAATTCTTAATGTACAAAAGTTTCCAACAGTTATTAAACTGTATAAAGAGGATACGTACTTTCTTTCGAATTTTCTGAGAAGTTTAAGAGATATTTGTCGCGAATATATATTCAGTGAAGAATTAATATTGAGATAGTTTGTACAGTCGATAATGAAGCGATTGAATGTTTTAAACAGTAAAAAAGGGAAAATATGTATTAGAGTTAGGCCCCACATATTGTTAACATGCTACGACATGAGTTGAGAGATATCGATTGATACTTGTTATTGTTACAACGCAGTTATTGGACGTCGACACAGTTAATAGGCGTGAAATCTAATCCATTAAGAACCAAGCTACAATTTAAAAAATTAAGTAAACACTACAATATTAGCAAGTGTAACAGAATTTGACAATACAAATTGTTTGAAAAGAACTGCAATTATTGCGAATAATTTTTAATTCGATGATCAACTCAAGTCGATTATTTTCCTAAAAGTATAATTCGCGTCTAAGTATAATTCTTCGATCTGAAATAAAAGTTCATTTTTATTCGTTGCACTTCCTGACCTACATTGGTCAAGACATTTGGGTTCTCTTTAAATGTCTCTTAAATTTAATCGAACATGTACGAGATTAACCTTCTGCATTTCTCTCGAGTTATAAATGTCAGGGATGTTATTTGAATGTTACATTTGTAAAAATAACCTTTTCGTAAATACGCTATTCTAAGACACAACTCCGTTAACGTACCAAGCAATCTAAATTCTTGAAATGTTACAATTCTCCTCCATGTAATCTCGAATTATTGAACATTTATATTGATATAAAATCGTGATATGTTATTAAGAATCGAATCTAAAAAATATACAATAAAATTCTTCTTTCATACTTTCTATATATATTTTATTCATTTAGTATTCGAAACAAATTTATCTCGAGTTGTTATCTTTGTCCAGAAGATTAAAATAATATAATTAAATATATCATAAAATAGTTATCCAAATTTCGATCGTGCAAAATTTAATGACTAAAAATATTGTTGTCGATCGAAAAAAAAAAGAGCAAGAACAAACAAACAAACAAAATCTCAAAGGCCGATTCAAATTCGACGCACAAAGAGGGAGAGAGATACGCGAGGAACGTTTCACGATCGTCACGGAACTACGCGAGCAGCACCGCTCGATCACGAGAATCGAACGGATCGCAGTGAAAGCAGAATCACGAAACGCGACGTGACATAAATGCAGGTACTCGGAGCGCAGGTTGCACGGCCGTATGAATCATCTTCTCAGTGCCTGTACGGCCTACGAATTGTCCTGTCCGTCATCCAGTCGAGCAACACACGGTTTACGATTACGTCGAGGAAAGCGGCCCGACGATTTATGAGTCATCCGTACACGAGCTTGCTCACCTTTGGGAATTTGTAACGCGTTCCTTCGACATCCGGTCGTGCCCTGGAATCTCGGCGATAGTTTACTACGCGATTCACGAGGACGTTGTTACTCGGACGCGCCGCGCCGGTGAGTGTTTCGCGATTAATCGTTGCGACACGGCTGATCCATCGATATCGATACGTTACGAATTTACAGGTACTTTCAGGAATGAGGACGCTGGTTTTGATTGGCTTACAACATACTCTGTTCGAAAAGTTTCGTCTCAAATTTGTTTTTAAACGGATGCTCGTGTATTATGTTTCTTTTTTCTTTTTTTTTTTTTTTTTTTAATTAGCGTATTACTTAACCTTCGTTACTTGAATGGTGCGAATTTTTTAAAAATGTGGTTCTCTATTTAAAAGTTCGAAAAATCTCATTCCGCAATGTATATTCCCTGGACCACGCGACTTCTTCGTGTTCTGTCGATTGACATCGTTTCGAATCGATTCGATCGACGAGATAAAATTTCGTCGCCGGATCAAAAGGAATTTCAAGAAAGCAATCTGAAAGAATCTAGAGAGCATTGGTACAAATGTATCATGGGTATTACTTTGAAGTAGAAAAAGATTTTTGAGTTTGAAAAAGAAATCAAACCAAGCAGAATTAAATAAAGCAATAAATAAATAAGAATCAGATTAAACAGTTTTCATCGTCCTGAAATTTTTCGAACAAAATTTTTCTAAACACTGCTATTTGTGAATGTTATAAAGGATCGAAGATTTTCAAAATATCCATAGTAACTTTTTAAACTTTTGAATGAAGTGAACGTATATTATAACACGTGGTAATAACCTTGTGTTCCAACTTCCGCTTCGTTACTTTCTATTGCCCAAATTATATTTCATACAGTTATACAGTAAGCAGTAGCACAACTTGAACACACCGAAAACTAAGCAAATACACTTTTCTTCTTTACAATAAGCATGTTGCACGTAATTACACAACACCCGCGTTAATTTAAACTAAAGCCCGCCGCACTTTGCACTTTCTCTCTGCGAAGAGATTTCGTTTCTAACAACAACGTATCGATATAATCCGAACTAACGACTTCCCACTTTAACTGGAAGTAAAGATGAAACAAACAATTAAAAAAAAAAGACCACTAACGTGTTGTATTGTTACTTCGTTATTTATAAATTTAATATTTTGCTTGTTAACGAGTGTAGATATATCGAGTGACGCGTAAGCGTAAAAAATAATTATAGTTATATCACGTATTACTGGTATATTGTGAAATATACAATACAATTACTCGATAAAAGTTTCATCATCTAAACCGTTGTGCATAAAAAAGGACGAGGAAAGCTAATAAAATAAATCGTCGACCTCGAATGATTGACACTGTTGTTATAGTCATACAATACAAACTACGAAAGTCTTCTCAATTGACGATGTACATATGTATCAAACTTGCTAAATTTTGGAACTTGTATCGCAGAGAAAGGTGAGTAGTGCAGAGAAATACATTCAGCCGAGTGAAGAGTTTGACAAATTTCAAAAGATTCAAGCAAACCAACCTGCTGTATCTTTCGTTCACCATCCCGCGAGTCTTGCTCGGAAGATCGTTCGCCGTAGTCCTCGTCGTCGGGGTCCAACGCGGCCGGATGCCTGGTCCTCGGGAGTCGCGCGGAGGCCGATCTGCAGAACTGTTGCTGCTCGTTCCATCGTCTGGCAGCGGCGTGAGGAACGTGACACGGTTGGCCCACGTGAGTAGTCCCCTGGCCCGTGTGACTCGTCGGTCTGCCACCCCACCCTCCCATCGACGACTCGTATTCTCGTGGAATTCTTCGTGGTATCGTCCGGTCGTCTTCGGCCATGTGACTCAGCATTTCTCGACTGCTAGGCTCGTAGCTCTTCTCCCGCAACGATCGCCTCAGCTTCGCCTCGTTGCTGTTTATCCTGCTTCAACCGACACGTTGCAGAACATTTTCTAAGTTCACCTTTGCACGCGATTTTCATTGAGCCATTCGGAAATTATATACCAACTAATAACACGTTCGTGTAATTTTATAATTGTAATTAAAAGGAAATTGAATCTGGAAGAGTCTGTCTCACTTTGAATATTTCTTATATTATATCATGTTTTATTTTATTTAAATCTCTTTATATCTCATTTTCTGAGAAGTCTACTTTGAATACTTTGCAGATTTCTGAAAAATGCATGAAACTAATAACTAAGATGTGAATTTTATACACTTATACAACCTATGTATAAAATATCCCAAGTATGTCACAGCACATAGTAGATAAAAAGAATTTTTTTTAAGGCTCTGCTACTTTGGGCATTTACGTTCGTAAAAATGTTTAAATGCATAAGATTCGCATCCTGCTAACTTGATACGTTTCCACCAGTGGGCATGAATAAATTTATTATTAAAGCCAATGTTTGCCAACGAGAAAGGAAATTGAAGGAAAGACTGACTCACTCGGTGTGCCTCTGAAGCGACTGGTGAGGTAACATGTGTTGCTGATGAACGTGCTCGCGTTGCGCTCGCCTCAAGCCAGAGCACGAAACATCCGGAAGCGTCGCCATTCTACTTTCGTCGCTTCTGTCGCGGATCGCCGCCGTTACTTTCGACGTCATTGTCGCCCGGGAAAGCGATTGATTCCTCTGTTGCTGATGATGCTGAGGCGTCTGATGGAGATAAACCGCGGACTGCCGCATCTGTGCCGCGTACCTGTATCGCAAACGCCGTTAATGCTTTCGAAATATCGAGAAATATCGCGAGAGGAGTCAGTAGTTTGCTTTCAAGGCGAGAAAGGAACGTGGTATCCCCGTTCTTCGATTCGAACGTGTCGCAATTAGACGAATACCAGCGAGGTGAAACTTCTGTACGAAATCGTGTGGCAAGATTATCGATCGTACACCGATGATTAAAACAGAAGTCACTGGGTGGGGTTCAAGGTTGTTCAAGGTTGTTCACCCTGTGTCCAGTTTTTCAGGAAACTTAGGTTACTCTAGGCACGAACTTTTTGTTCTGTTTCTTTGTTTGGTTCGCGATTGTATTAATCCTCAAGTAGCATCGAAAAATTTATCGAAAAGTTAGTAAAGTGGTTAGACCTTTACAGCTTAGAATCTTAAGAGAGAAAGATATAAATATATGACGAGAACTAATAATTAAAATAAAACTAATAAGTAAAATAAAATATCTGAGGAACGATAAATAATTCACTCGATGAATTTTAAAACTTTAACAGTTAACACCCTGCGGATCAGACGCGTGATAGTTGAAATAGAATAGAATGGAATACCCTGCGGATCAAAACCGTGATAGCGGAAAATAGAATAAAATGAAATATCGGCTACCTTTCCTCAGAATAGAAATATCCGTCGTTGGTAGTGTCCGACGGGGTGACTATATCTAAACTCGATTTAGGCCTCTGTGGACGCCTCTGTTGATTCAGAGATTCCTCGCACTGCGGTGGCATCTGCTGCTGAGGCTTCCTGGTCGCCTCGTACTCCAAGAAGTCCGCGCTGTGAGGTCGCGGGGGTGGTTGCGCCCTCGGTTGCCTCATTATTGGCACTGAATCAAACCGGATTGGATTAACGATCCTCTTACACGTGTCACAAGCGTTAAATGGCAATTTCAAATACTTGAATGAACTACAATGCGATTTTCCGCATGTTCCTCTACATTAATTATCTGTCCTAATTAATTCCGCGAATTTAGAACATTCCCTTCCAACGAGAACGTGCTAATTTCACTGTACTTGGCGATTGCAAGCTCCAATATATATTATAATTTTAATAATATTATATTGTTAGTTTATTTAGCAAATGAACTCATTTGTGATATTTATAAGTGCAGAAGCTCGTAAGATTGAACACTTATTGTAAAAGAACTTTTACATATTATATGTGTTTTATAAAACATTTGAAAATTTTGTTAACATTCTAATAAGGCATGGCTGTCATGATTATGTATATTGGTAAAATTTGAAAATATATACAGGCAAACAT